GGTTACAGGTGTTTGACCACCGTTGCCTTCGTAGTATAGGACGTATTCCGTGGTGTCACCATGTGAGTAATGCAGAAGTTAGGTGTAGAGTTTTGGGAGAAGAGGTAAGTCAGTCGACGAGGTTGTGAACCTTCATCGACTGAGATGGGTTGGGACACGTACTACGTATGCCTAGTCACCGATTGCCTCGTCACACAATGTTGGCTGAGGTGGGTCCAGGCTGGAAAAAGGCCCGAGGTGGCCAGACTAAAACATGGCACCAATGTATGAAGTCTCTGACTGTTGGTTTAAGCCATGTAGGACGATGCAGACTAGGTGGTTGGGGTCGGCGGACAAGAGGAACCAGTGGTTGGAGACCCTAGGTGATATGGCTCAGAACCGAAGTCAGTGGCGCAGATGTATACACACATTATCCTCATCTTAACAACGCTATACCGAATCTCACTATTTTGTCACTCCTCTTTCCTTTCTTCTCATACTTTATATTTCTTTTGACTGCATTCACTTATCTTCATCCTTCACCTCACTACCTTTTTACTTGATGTGCTGATATGAGTAGTGGTAACTCGGACCGTTACGCAGTAATGCCTGGTCCTATGTTGATAATGATGAAATGTGCCGCAATGCTTTCTTTACATTATTTTTGACTTAAATAAATGGTTGGATCGAGTAGCAAACGAAGCAGTCTGCTTTACTAAGCGATTTCAAGAAAGACCAGTATTTAATGGTCACTGCTTGTACCCAGTCGTATTCCATTCTTAGAAACGTATTCCGACCTAGTCCTCAAACCAGATGCAGCACAGTATCACTGCATCGTGCTTCCGAAACTTCACGGCTAAGTACCTCTTGACAGAGAATAATTAACAGTTTGATAGCACCTAAACACGCGGTCAGTGTTTTAGAGCCCGAAGCTACTATAAAAAGTCAAAGCATCAGGCACAGTTGGAGCTGCTATTTCAGTAACAATCTAAGAGCTAATAGTGATGGTTGGTGTTGTCCACGAAGCTACCGAAACCAACAGTATGCGAACAGCGGTGAAGTGATACTGGCTTTCAACTCTTCATAACCGGACTACACAATGTTTACCAAAGACAGAATGCTATCGACTAATCGGATTTTCATTTCAGTAAGGCAACTCCAATGATGTTAACTCAACCTTATAAAACAACTAAGAAAACTGTGTGAATTTTCTGGATCGATTTTTACAGACCATATTATATCACACATGATCCTGATGTGCCGTTCCCCAGGATCTGTTCAACCATCAGCATGCTTGAGTTGTTTCTATCTGTAGTTTGTACTGGAAATTTTTGTCCTACCTCAAACTGTTATGATGTTTAGTTTTAAAACATCTTGTTTTCATCGACACTTGCTATCCAAGAATCAATTAGATCCCGTACACAAACACAATACAAATCACACTGTTTCGCTTTATTCAGAAAGATATTACTAACATAGGATCTAGAATAAATGTAATAGTCTGATTCATTGCATTCAATATGTCTATTCCGCTCACAATCGAAGAGACTTTGTGAACAATATCTGACGTGAAATGACGCGGTTGAAGGGCTAAGTTTAACAATGGAAGTCGATTTGGATAAACTCGTCCATGGAAGCTAAGATGAAAAAGTAGCAACAACTGATGAATGATACGACCTGGCTAAAACCGCGTCACCATCAACGGGAGAAATCTAAAGGAAATAGTCTCTTTCACTTATCTCCCTAGGCAACATCGTTTCAACTACAGGCAGAACACGCACAGATGAGGACGTCAAAGCCAGCCAGGATCGGAAAGACAGCAAAACAGGCCTTCATTAACCTGTAATCAGTGTGGAGACCTACTGCACTCAGCATAAAAAACAAGATTCCAATTTTCAACACTAGTTCAGTCAAGTCAGCGCTTCTATGCGATGGTTCAGAAACTTGGCGCATTACGAAAAGCATTTCCAACAAACTACAGACATTCATTAACACCTGCCACCTACGCTCACTCGATACTGAAGATCAGATGGCCAGAATAATAATAAGAGGAATAAGCAACAAGAAACTCTAGACTGGCAACGAACCAACCAACAACCCATCGCCAACAAATATACACATGAAAGTGGAGATGGATTGGACTGCATATACACTGAGAAGACCATTCGGGGACACATCACGCCCCACACCAGACACCTTCGAGTGCAATCCAAATGGGAAACGACGAGTTGGGCGTCAGAGGGTGACATGGAGGAGATCGTGTGAGGAAGAAATGGAAGCTTGTGGGTAGTTTTAGAGTCATGTTCAAAAGACTGTAGAGGACAGAGTGAAATGGAGACGTGCAACTGAAGCTCTATGTTCCACTAGGATCACAAGGGACAAATAATAATAATAATAATAATAATGTGTTCAAAAGGGATGTGTACTTCGACTTTGTCTACCTTGGGTCACAATAGAGTCGATACGTTCTTTACTAACTTCCCTACCACAAACTGCACATTTTAACCTCACCCCTTTCTTTCATGTTGTCGTTACACTGATAAACACTCATTTTCTTATGTTATTTTTATGCTCTTCTTTATTCATACCACTACTGGTAGTCATTTTCAGCTGTGACGTAACGTTTCACGTTTTTTATTCTCTATTTGGTCATAGTATTCACATGATTTTCGCCCCACTTGAATATACGTGATTACCACTAGACCCTTTGCTAAGGGTAAACAAACACACACATATTCATGCCAGTAAATGTATATAAATGAATCATCAGCTGTAGATTATGCCTCCTGATTTTGTAATTGTTCTGTCAATATTAATTTCACTGCACAACTAAGACACTAGACTGATAAGCATTCCACCATTTTATTTGATCCCTATAAACCCATTCCATTGACTGTTTCGATACAGTAATAATTGTACATCGTGCCTTATTTTGGTGGTTGTATCTCACTTATTCTCATGGATATATAACTGCTGAGCCAGAAGAAGTTATTGAAAACAATTGTTTGCTCAAATTATTCTTGTTCAGAAGTAAATTTGTTGAAATATCACGTTGAAAATTTTAAAATGTACTAAAAGTGATTATTATCACTATTATCACGGTTCAGAAGCTACTCATCCCGAAAATTAAGTTTTTGATGTAACTAATTAGTATGTCCTGAAAAGCTTTTAACCCTTACCAATCAATGTTGATTACCACTTACTTTCTGTTTCTCGTCTTATTTCTTCAACTGAGATATTTGAGACGTATAGTCAGTTAAAGACCAAAAAGGAATTCGTAGTGTCCTTATTAATTTCCCTAGTAACACCGATAACATTATTTTTCACTAACGAACACAATGCAGGTTAAATCCTCATAATCTTGAAAGTATGCTACTTGATTTGTGGTAAAAGATGACAACACAAAACATCGAATGTAGTTGAACTTCACAATTAGCAGTGTAAGCGTATCGAACTTCCCTGATGGAAAAACGAATAGCGTGAGATCATGCGTAGTCAGTTTGACAACTGATAAAAGATTAGTCACACCAGCTTGAATACAAAACTGTCCATCCAAATATTTTTTCAACTCTAGGTGATATAGTTGCTGACCAGAGAAAAATAGGTATTGGGAGCTGGTTGTATTTGAGAGGAACTTTGACGAAGATCACTTGCAGTTATTTAGTTTGGTATATCAAAATATCACATTTAAATGAAACTAAGGATGCCACGATCTCATTGCAGCAGAGCTCGACTGCTAAAGTCAGAGATAAAAGTGTTTACAGAGAGGTTTCAAGAACTAGCCGCAACACTGTAGTTTCCATGAGAAGTGCAGGAATAGATAATTCCTATAAGGTACACTAGTTTACTTCTGCCGCATGACATACAACTCACATTTATCGCACAAGTGAATGACTCTTCTTGTTCCCCATCACAAGTTCTAACCGCGCTTAAGTTAAAAGTCGGTGCACACCTGAAAAATAACTGCAACTACAGTATCGTAAGTGTTATTTCAGGCTTGAATACCAATTGAAATCCAACTGCACTTCAAAAATGTTGTGAGTAACGTATCAGTTGTCTTTCCATGTCTTATTAGTTTTGATGCTGAACAAATTAATTACAGCTCCTATTAAATCTATTTAATGAATATTAAACCTTTCAGTCATTGTTACTTCACCAAAAGACATCTTTGGTGCAGAAAAAGTGTTCGCCTTCATATAGAGGTTAGTACTTAACAAAAATGATAGATTATTCAAGTGTGCTTCCTGTTATTTATTTACGCTGCAGTGATTTTCAAAGGAAGTGCTATCTGCATACGATGCTGTTGGCAAAAGTGAGTATTTTCACCATTAAAGGAAACATAAAGAATGGAATTCACCTTAAAAATATCTCAAAAGTTCAATCCCAAACGGATTAAATAAACTTTAATTAAAGTGCAGATGAGAATCAATTATAATTCACAGTTCACGAAATCCCATGAAAGGCTTCAACATATTGTCGCTGAACACTTATTTTTGGCAGCTGGTAGGAATTTAGTCAGTGGTTGTCTGTCTACAGATGCAATATCAATGATGCATAATTAACTTAAACGGTTATCTCAAATGACTTTACCAAAGGAGAATTCAGTGTGATAAGTTTGCAGAACACTTTTAGTATTCTTGATTTTTATATACTGTAGGCATCACACAACTTCCTACTAGCACATGCTTTTGCTAATTTAAAGGAGGATTAGCCTAACATCCAGAAAAATATTTACTGAGGTTTTATGATATCAACGGAACAGTTTGTTTGAAATTTTTGGTACATGAACTTTGACCATGAGTGATTCAAACATCACTAAATTGACATTTTTGGATAAAGGAGAGAATAATTTTAGTAAAAATAACACATGAGAAATGCTTATAACATTACAAATTTCAGATTATATTGAGATATGAACAAGTGGAGCGAATATTTAAAGATTTAATCAGAAATTACACCAATAAACGCGTTTCTTTCCATGAGGATGGAAAATGCACATAAAATTGAGTTGTTCTACCACACTAATTATTATTAAGACCCAGCGCATGTTCCAAATCCTGTCGCCTCTGCGAAATCTGAAAGATAAATTTGTTCAATTTAGTAACTAACGTACACAAAATTGAAATGTAACTGTAGTAAATGAAGCAGCACCAAGATGTTATTTATTTACTTGTTAAATAAGATAAATAAGGCACTCAAAAAAAGGCAATATAACTACATCATGATATGTGTATTCAGGAGAATCCGTTTAATCATGATGTTCTTTTACCACAGGTATTTATTGATAATGTTCAACGTAATTCAGTATTTCGTGACTATCCACCTTACCAGTAATTATGCTAGCTAAGGTAACCTCAAAATAACTTACTCGATTATAAAAGTAACGCATCACAGCTTCTTGTGTCCAGTGAGCATTATAGAATTCTGCATGGCGCTCTTCTTCAGGATGTCCTGGTGTGGCATCGGTCATTACCCAGAAGTCACGACACTGACTAGCTAACCAACGTGATATAAAGGCTTGAGGATCGCGACTGAACTCCAAATAGAATTCTCGATGCACCTTCATTTGATTGATTTGCTCAACTAGTTCATGTATCTATAAGAAATTGGAAATAGGAAAGTTAAGCAACACATATATACTGTCAAACTTTGATATTATTTAGATCACTTTCCGTTTCCACATATTGATATTATTGCACCTTGATTTTCTTGATGTTGATGTTTTCCGGTCAACTTACTTACGTGAACTAGGAAACCTCAGGTCAACAACCAATTGTGTCACGTTTCATTCTGTTAACATTTAACCTGAATTAATGTTGTTTAGCCACAACAGTTCTATACACAATATCCCGTAGGTTTAAGACAGCTGGTAGCCACCGTTATGCATCAAAGATTGTGCAAATTAAATCCAACTTCCTCAAGGTTTACAAAATTTTAATATCGATTTAATTGTATTTCATCTAAAAATTCAACGAGGAACATTGATATGGCAGACAGAAAGAAAGCGAAAGACACCATTGCCAATAATTATAGCAAATACACGAATGATTACAAACTGAGCGTTTACAATGGTGAGTCATAACACAAATTTCAGTAGCTGAATTGATCATACACAGAGAAAAGAAACTGGGTGAAAACTAACCATACGATAATAATGTTTACTTGCCTAGCACGGTCAACAGTAATAGGAGAATGAGCTAGTATGTTACTATCGATAAATCATGATGAGTACTCATTTCAATGGGGAATGAAATTAAGTTTGCTCTCTGACCTGTAAGTGTGAGGTTATAGCATTTGCTATCTGGCAATCACATGAAATAATAATAATTCCTAAATACAACACACGGAATCCATTGACTACGTGTGGCTTTGTATTGAATCCTTAATCGCTGATGAATTGAAACACAAACATCTGGCTTCTGCTCTCATTATTACTCAGTAACGAGACTGAAGGAATCTACGCTCCATATGTTGCTCGGAAAAAGCTACATATGTAACCGTAAAATTTGCGACAATGAGTTCAATCCTAGGAACAAATATCTACACTTTGTAGAATACGTTTTATAAGCACCTCTTCGTAAACACAGTAGGTGTAAAAAGGGTCAAAAATAACAAAGAGATCAAGTCATTAACAACTAAACAAAACTTACTTTGTTGTCGATTGCAGATAGCTCTTGGCTCGTATGAGTGTTGGTCAGATAACTGTGCACCATACTTTTGTACACATCGTCCTGTAAACAGAAAGAGTAAAATTGTCACTTTTCATTTAAAAAGTAAACGTTTTCACACTTAGTCGATCAGGAAAAAATAAACATGAAAGACAGGTTATCTTTAACGCAATAATTTCGAGAAATGCCTGAGACCACTACAATTTTAATTTTTCTTTTCGACATGCGTGTTTAATTTCGTAAGTGACAAACAACATTTATGTCCTAGATTGTAGCCTAGTTGATAGCTAGCAGTGGAATCCAGGACGTATGGTTTGTTCTGTTAAGACTGTTAGCTGTGCATATACACCCAGTGAGAGATGTTATTCCACTGATTCGAACTCATTATCCACAAGATAGAAACAGACTCATGAAAAACCAAGTGACAAGATTAAAACTGAAACATTATTTCAACGCATTTGCGCTTTCCTACTAAACGACTAAATTCCGCCACTTCTATTTTATTCATCCGTATTCGTTCTCTTCTTTCCGTAAAAATCGTTCCTTACTTTAATCAGGAAATGAAAATAATACATAGGCTAAGTTTTTAA